TCCTCTATCCAGTCTCTTTCCTTCCTCTCTCTCTTTCTTGTCCTCTCTTCTTGTCTCTCTTCTGTCAACCTGCCAGAGATCAGGAGCAGCTGCTGTCCCAGGGGTCCAACTGTCTCCTAGATGCTTCTTCTCTTATGCTGGTCAACCGGTTAAAGAACTGTTGTGTGTTTGGTTTTTATGTGATTTGTGGTATTTTGGCGCAAAAACCTGTATTGTTCACTAACCACTTGCAGTCCAGTTTAGCCAGATGTTAAGTGTGCTGAAGTAGCGTTGCACTTTGAGTATTTAAATGAATTAATTATTATTCTTTTTAGAGCAAACACGCCTCCTTTCTATGCAAATTAGGCTTATTTAGATTATGCCTTAGTCACCAAAGTCAGTGCTATTTGCCTGGTTCTTTAAAAAGCCAAAAAAAAAAAAAGCCAAATAAAAATAGTTCATATGAATATTTAGCACATTGTGCTACACTGAATTAAAAGATATTTTTGAGTACATTTTCTATTGGTTGTGGCAGCAGTTATTGGTTAAGTCAGTTTAGTTTGGAACGGCAGTATTAGTTTGGAATTACATTTTTGTTGATGATATATGTCACAATATAAATATTTTTATGGAAACATAATTTGAAAAAAAGTAATTATAGACCATCACAAATTTGATGAACATTGAAATAAAGGAAACAGATTTATAAATAAATTATTATTAAAATTGCTTCATTTTGAGAGGGACTTCACTGGAAGTAATGACTTACAGTTCAGTAAGTGAATCAAATATTTGATTCAGTAACTGCTTAGATCAATTCAGTGAGTTGATTCAGTTCATTTAGAGTTCATCAGACTGATTCAAACAAGAAACAAGAAAATGATTAATTTGTTCATGAATCAGACTATACTGATTGCTCTCTGTGTTTGCTTTTGCATGCGACAAATAGATAGAACAACCAAATTGAAAGTCCTCAACTGTCTTTGTCTCATAACATTTAATTCAGACTGCAAACTAATTAAATATTTTGAATTACTTTTATTTTTATATATTCAATTTTCATAATTTACGTTTTACTACTTATGTGCTTTTGTCATTCAATTTGGTTCTAATAGTGGGCAGTTCATTTTTAGTAAATGCTGAAGTGTCTGCTCAATCACACATGCATACACTCCACGCGTGCTGCGGGACATTCGGTGGCCTTTCGTGTCGTGTATGAGTGGCCCAAAGTGCGCCACAGTTAATGACTGGCTCATTTACACTGTCTCTGTTTTAATGAAGTATTAACATGCGCTCTGAGAGTAATTACAGGTCCGTTCCCGTCGGGCTTGTCAGACTGCACCAGGGAGTATATGAAGGAAGGGTCAACTGTTCACACACTCTAATATGCTAATCAATATGAGTCCATTTACAATAAAGGTTTATTTGCAAAGCCATAGAATCAGCAGGATTATGATTTGTCGGCAGCATTACTCTGATGTTTTTTTTGTTTTTTTTTCTACGCCAGCAACAGATTGTAGCTTGCGGCTTCTAATATATTAAATATGTCTCAAAAATTGTTTGCTAATGAAAAGTGTTTTATTATTTGCTCTTTTTAATTAAGTTTAAAGTTTGACACTTTGCAGTGAGTGTGAGAGTTTTAAATAAAAGGTTTTAGTGCTGGAGGTGGTATATTTACATATACCCAAGCGACTTAAAGGCACAATATGTAATTTTCGCCGCTGGAGGGCGCGTATTCAAAATAAATAAATAGACAAAGTAGTTTGATGACGCCGTGTGACGGAGTGTGGAATCATGGGAGTTGTGGTCTTCATCCCCACAGCCGATGCAATCCGACGGGACTCGGGCAGAAATCATGTTCATGGATGAGCTAATGATTTATTAACGTAGTAGAATGAAGCAGGGTGAGGCTGAAAGCCGTCGAAGCGAAACGAGGCCGCTGAGCGAGTGTGAAACACGGCTCGAAAGCAGCGAAGCTTTTATTATGCCACAGTCGACCTATATAACACTTTTCTAGTGGTTTTTGGATATTTTAATAAAAAAATCTTACATATTGTGCCTTTAAGACTGGTTTTGTGGTCCAGGGTCACATATGAGCATGTTTTGATGTTGATTTGCAGCATTGTGTTGTCATCAGAGCAGGAGGCAGGCCTTTATTCAAATCAAAAGCTGACATGGTCATTCTTTAGTGAATCAGAGAGGCCGCTCCGCCTCTAAAATAAGAAAAAAGGAGCTTCTGTTATCTACAAGAAGATTCAGCGGTCTCTTTCCCTCGGGTTCCTCTGAAACAAACTGTCTCCTGAAGCTCTGCAGTGCATTTTTGTCTCTGTGCTCCCATGACACTGCGTTCCTTTCCTTTTCTTCCTGTCCTCTCGGCAGAGGCTTTAATCCTATGCGGTGTGTGCTACCCCTGGCCCGGGTGGCTGTCCTCATCTGGCTTTGTGTTTGTAATGAGAGGGCAGGATTGTGTTGTCTTTGATCTGAGGTGCTTCAGTCTTACTGCATACTACCTCATGTAAGGCTGGGGATTTGCTATTGTGTGTGTCCGGATCATTTGCGCGCCTTCCCTGACCCCTCTTCCACACATGGCTTCAACACGCTTCCTGCTCTTATACTATTCACTGTTCTTTTTCGGCCTCATCTCTTCTTCTTTTTTGCTCTTATTTAGTTTCACCTCATCTCATTCTCTTCTTTGTCTTCTAGTCTTAGCTAGTCCTTTGTCTTCTCATCGAGTCCTTTTTCACAAGTCTTTTTCACTTCTTGTTACATTTTATCTCATCATGTCTCTTCTTGTCTCAACTCTTGTATCTTGTCTACTATAAATAAGACAAGATACGAAAGTTGAGACAAGAAAATCACTCTGTCACATCTCTTCTAGTCTGTGTCTTTGTTGTCTAGTCATCCATACTCTTCTCATCTAGTCTCACCTCATTTCTTGTCATCCTTTCTCATTTAGTCCTCTTTTCTCTGTCATCTGGTCTCAGTTCATTTTCTCATCTCATCTAGTCTCATCTCGTCTCTTCCTATCTAGTCTTCTCTCTTCTTTGTCGTCTAGTCTCACTTCATCCGTTCTCTTTTTATCTAGTCTCATCTCATACTTTCTTATTTAATCTTCTCTTCTCAGTTTTCTAGTCTCAGTTCATTCTGTTTCGTCTCTTGTCATCTGATTTCAACACATATCTTCCAATTTAGTCTCATCTCTTATACTTTGTCGTCTAGTCTCACTTCATCCGTTCTCTTTTTATCTAGTCTCATCTCATACGTTCTTATTTAATCTTCTCTTCTCAGTTTTCTAGTCTCAGTTCATTCTGTTTCGTCTCTTGTCATCTGATTTCAACACATATCTTCCAATTTAGTCTCATCTCTTATACTTTGTCGTCTAGTCTCACTTCATCCGTTCTCTTTTTATCTAGTCTCATCTCATCTTTTCTCATTTAGTCTTCTCTTCTCTTTGATCTAGTCTCAGTTCATTCTGTCTACTCTCATCTCATCTCTTCCCATGTATTCTTCTTTCTTCTTTGTCGTCCTAGTCTCACTTCATCCTTCTCTTCTCATCTAGTCTCATCTTTTCTCATTTATGGCTCGTTTCCACCGAACGGTACGGTTCAGTACAGTACAGAACACGGTACAATTCGGGACGGAACACCCTAATCTGGATTGTGTTTCAACTGCCAACAGTACCCTTACTTGATAGGCGTAGTGTAAAATACACTGTTATATGTTTGCACACTCTGATGTAAACAAGCCCGACACACATGAGCAGCATGGCGGAACAAGTGAAGGAGACGCTTCATTCCCCTTGTGTTGTCATTCCCCTTGTAGCATGCACAAGTGGCGATTCTCTGTCAACCAATCAGCATTCTGCAGTGAGTCTATGTGACGAGTGGGGGCGGGGCCGAGAGCCGTGGGAACTGAGTGAGGCCGGTGGAGTAAGTGATAATGCACAACACCTGGCCACTCACCGGTCTCGAGCTCCGGAAGGATAAAAGGAGGAGTGACAACAGTGCAAGACAAGAGAGGACCAGGCCTGGACCTTATTTTGTGTTTTGTGTGCGGCAGTCGTCCGCGAGGGCCTGGAGCTTTACTTTCATTTTGTGTTGATTTATTTTATTAAAGTATTTGAATGTTCGCCGGTTCCCGCCTCCTTCTTCCCGAACTACGAACTTTGTTACAGTCTAGCTCCACCCTTTAGGTACCGGACTACTGTGCTAGGTACCCCAATGGAAGGGTCCAAAAAAAGTGGTACGGTATAGTTCGCTATTTTGGTACCATTCACAACTTCTGACAATGGAAATGGAAATAAATGTGTACCGAACTGTACTTTACTGAACCGTACCAATCGGTGGAAACGAGCCATTAATTCTCAATTTATCTCATTATTTTTCAGCCTGTCATATGTAGTGTCATCTCATTTTATCTTGTTATTTCTCATTCAATTTTCTCTTCTCCGAGAAGGGTCTCAGTTTATCCTGTCTCTTCTCATTATGTTTTTTCTTGTCTCGTTTCTTCTCCCCTTGTCTCTTTTATCTTCTCTTCTCATGTCGTCTCATATTATCTGTCATGGGTCCAGCACTATAACACCTCTTCCTCTTCACATCATCAGCGTCCCCTGAGACAGTGACGTTGACAGAGTTATAGACTGTAATAGTGTCAGCAGGAACTGCAGGGACATCTCTATTAACCTTCAGTAGATGTACTGCATGTGCCGGGACGCAGACTGACAACACTGTGGACCTTTTTTCACCGGCTTTCGCATGATCTCCAAAGTGCTCCTCATTGGATCTGAAGCACAATAGCTGCTGGGATTTGCTCTCCTGAGCATTAACTTTTGCTGAATTGAATTACTTGGCCCAGGAATTGGCAGAATTACCTCAGTGCTTGTTAATGAGCCTGACGGTATTGTTTTACTTCCTATGGGCATCATTAGGTTGTTTAGATTCGACAAGGGACCTGAGCTTGGCATCTTGATAAGAAGCACTCATATTGGTGAATTAACTCAAACGTTTTCTCTTCCCTTGCAGGAATTCTCTATGCTACAATTGGACGATTTAGCTGATCAACGAGTCAACATCGTTGGGTTTTCAGTCTTCAACAGAACACATCCTTTCTTTCAGGACTTCGTCCTCAGCCTCAATCGATCCTGGCAGGAGAATTGTGATCATGCTCCTTTTGCAGGAACACCAGTAAGGCTGAGAAAACTCTTAGTTAAAGGGGTCCTATTATGCTTTTTCACTTTTTTAATTTTAGTCAGTGTGTAGTGTGTATGTTTGGGCATAAAAAAGATCTAGAAAGTTACAAATCTCAAAGTCCACTCCAAAGGGAGATATTTCGTTTTTTTTAAATCCCTTTTCAAGTTGAATATGCATGATTGAATCAATGTTAAAGAGACTGTTCACCCAAAAATGAAATGATTTACTTTATTTCTTTCATGAAACAAAAAAGGAGATTTTAGGCAGAATGTCCAAGCAGCCTATTTCCATATTATGTTTTGTCCTTACTAACTCCAAAAAGGACAAAAATAACATTATAAAAGTAGCCATATGTTCACTGTAGGTTACATGTATGATACTTTTTTGCTTATTTTAGAGCTTGATCATAAATTCACTTTAATCTGATGGAAAAGAGCAACTTGGACCTCCATCCTAACATCTTATTTGAGCTTTTACTATGACAAATGAGAGGTGTAACAACATGAGGGTGTCTAAATGATGACACATTTTTCATTTTTGGGTGAACTATGCTAAAAAAAATTGTCACTTTTCATGTTTATGTGTAGTCCATGTTCCGAAATAAGTCATTTATTTGTAACTCAAGAATGCTGTGTAAGTTAATTTGGAACAGCCTACTAGCCATGTCCCCTTGCTTACCTTGAAGTCGAGGCTATGGCTGTATAATTAATCACAAAAAGTCACATGCTTACCCTGAGGAATACACACACCCTGCATGTTCACGTCAGCACAGTTATTTCCGTCACTTTGGAAATGAAAACATCTGTATAATGTATTATTCCTGATCTCAGTCCCAGTCTGTACTCAATCAAACACCCAGGGAAGCTAAAAAAGAAAAACCGATCAAAGATCGGGTGGCAAAGCATTTCTTAATGTGATATATGCAAGTAAGTCATAATAATTACTTTTACATTTTTGTATTCTAATCAAAGCTGAACGGGTAAGACTTTTGAAAAACAAATGCCTTCTGCTTTTAGAAACTAGCCCTGGTTGCATTTCTCATTTAATTAGGTCTAATCTTTAATTAATCAGAGGATGGTTTGTAGTCTGGCAGACAGATGAGAAAGATAACAGGTCTAAACCCCACAGTGAGGCTCAGCTCTGTGTTACACACTGGCCTAGAAATGCAAGGCCTTAAAAACTAGCTTAGCCCAATATGTTTGATATGGGAGACACTAACTGAACAGATATTTAAGCCCTGGACTTCATTAGCTAAAGACTAGACTGGCTAGTCTGTCCAGAGATTAACCAGCGAACCTGCATATCTGCCTCAGTCGGCAGCGCACACACATTGTCATCTACATTTGCCTAATGAGAGCAGCCAGGATGTTTCCCTGAATGTGACCAGAATAGTTAGACTGTGTGTGTGTGTGTGTGTGTGTGTACCTGTTTTTCTATTCTGGTGGGGAATTAAACCTGAATACACACAGACTCATGGGGACTCATGTCACGGTGGGGACCTAAATTGAGGTCCCCACGGGTAAACAAGCTAATAAATCACACAGAATGAAGTTTTTTTTTTATCTAAAAATGCACAAAGTTTCCTGTAAGGGGTAGGTTTAGGGGTAGGGTTGGTGTAGGACAATAGAAAATACGGTCTGTACAGTAGAAAAACCATTACGCCTATGGAGAGCCCCCACAAGG